TTCCCAGTTTTAGCGGATTCCCGCTCCTAAGCAGGTTTGGGCGAGGATTCCCGCTCCTGAGTCTTAGTTTAGTGGATTTCCGCTCCTAAGTGATGGATTCCCGCGCCTGAGTCCCAATTGCAACGGATTCCCGCGCCTGATTCCCAGTTTTAGCGGATTCCCGCTCCTGAGGCCCATTTGTAGCGGATTCCCGCTCCCAAGTGGCTTTAGTTGAGGATTCTGGCTCCTGAGTCCCAGTTGTACCGGATTCCTACTCCTAAGTGGTGGATTCCCGCGTCCGCGTCCCAATTGCAACGGATTCCCGCGCCTGAGTCCCAGTTGTACCGGATTCCCGCTCCTAACCAGTGGATTCCCGCTCCTGAGTCCCAGTTGTACCGGATTCTCGCTCCTATGTGATGGATTCCCGCGCCCGAGTCCCAGTTGCAATGGATTCCCGCACCTGATTCCCAGTTTTAGCGGATTCCCGCTCCTTAGTGGTGGATTCTCACTTTTAGCGGATTCCTGCTCCTAAGTAGGTTTGGGCAAGGATTCCCGCTCCTGAGTCTTAGTTGTAGTGGATTTCCGCTCCTAAGTGGTGGATTCCCGCACCTGACTCCCAGTTTCAACGGATCCCTGCACAAAAGAAACTAAAGTAACGGTTCAACTCTTGGTGTGATTTTATTTAAGGTCGCCCACAAGAATAACATGATACAGATGTTGAATGTTACCGCTATTGATTCGGATGCGATGGAATTCCGAGATTCCATGCGCATTGAGCCTATTACATGCTACTGGTTCGTATTATGGCCAAGAAAAAGTAAAATAACTCTGCAACTGTTGGTGCGACTTTATTTAAGCTGGGGCACAAGACAAATAGGATACAGATGTTGAATGTGACCGCTATCGATTAGGATGCCATGGAATTTCGAGATTACATGCACCTTGAGCTCATTGCATGCTACTGGTTTGTGTCGTGGCCAAGAAAAAGTAAAGTAGTTGCCCAATCCTCGGTGCGCCTTTATTTTAGGTGACTTGGCCGAAATCCAGAAACTTGAATTTGATGTCCATAGGAAATCTATACAGAACTAGTGTCTTTGGACATGACATGAGGTAAGATATCAGCTGTCTCTTCCTTCCATTGTGCAAGGTATTCTACGTTGTCACTGTCCGAGTGACACCCGTGTATAATGGGTAATGTCGCCGTAGCTTCTTGTTTTGAGTTTACTCGAAGATCCATAAAGTCTCACCCGAACTTTGAAATTCATCTGATACCAGAGCATTTGTGTTGCAGAATTCCGTGAGTTTCCCACAGATTTCCGCCAATTTCCGCAGATTTCCACATATTTCCACAGATTTCCGCAGATTTCCGGTGATTTCCGCAAATTTCCTCTGCTTTAATGGACTCGGGTTTGCATATCAGCTTTCCACCATTTTGGTGCCGGATTCTCGTGCCCATCGGCTTCCTGCAGAAGAGACCTGAAAACAGGTTAGAAAAATTATCACATTTAATGGATTCCAGTTCTTAAACGTTCCAATTACGTCATGTTCTTTAACGTCCCAGGCATGTTCTTTAACGTTCCCAATTACGTCATGTTCTTTAACGTCCCAGGCATGTTCTTTAACGTCCTAATGTTTTACGGCATGTTCTTTAATGTACAATTGATGAAGTCGAATGATAAATCCGTTTGAGGACCCACAGATATATATAAGGACCGTTGCTCAGCTCACTCGCTACTGATCCCCCACTTCTGCAAGTCGCACAATGGCATTGGGTAGCAGCAGGCAGACCTTGCCACAGGTAGATCGGTACAATCTGTTCTTGCTGTAACGCTAACGATTTATTACAGAATCCGGTAGCTCCACCCCCGGTAAATTGTTAGAGTCTGTCGTTTCTTCAACACTAACAATCCATTAAAGAATCAAGTACCTCTGCCACCGGTAAATGGTTACCATTTGTTGTTTCTATAATGCTGACAATCTATTAAAGAATCCAGTAGCTCCAGTATGTTCAATTTGCCAAGATCGCCATCTTTGAGACTGACTCTAGCTTCTAGGCTTTCTCCGACACGGTGAGAATCAACAGAAACTGAGAAATGCTTTAGTACTTATGCGTGGTTTAAAGAACTTGATACAGCTAGAGGGAACTGAACTCGTTACAACACCAGCCATTCAAGCAGTTGGAATGGCCATCAATACGGAGCTTAGCCTACTTATTTGCATGGAATGCGAAGCCGCATTCACTGCCGAAAATTATATGGGCCACCTCCAACGAGCACACAAGGAGATCAAGATCCCGAAGGAGTTGAAAAACCTTGTTCACGCGCAACACATCTCTGATGTGTATCCGTACTTGGCAGTGAGCAGTACCCCACGCCGTCCATTGGCTGGTCTGTCGGTGACTCCAGACCAACGGGGATGTCCCCATTGTCCATTTGCGGGCTGTCGTGTCGGTGTAGCAACGCATATCAAGATCCACCCGCAACCGCATTCCAAAATACAGACAGGATTGTCGACACAGGCGCTCAACAAAGGAATCATCATTGCACGCAATCCAATCCGTGTCATTGCCCCAAACGTGGTTCGTCCTAATCCAGAAGTGCACAGTGATTTGTCGGTGGAGGAAGGTGTCGCCAGAGACGATAACACTGGCCAGAACAGCGTACAACGTCCCGAGGAGGTGGTAATAGAGCAAAGCAAGATGCTGTCCGAAATGTATGCTATGACCAAGGGATTGGTCGCTGCAGTGCATAATTTGCAGACCAATATGGACCGGATTGAGTCCATCTTGACGAGTGAGCGATATTTTCTTTAACAGCGATATGTTCAATGATCTCTTTAGACAAACTCGATGTTCCATCCAAAGGTATGTACATGAAATGTTTGCGTTTCAGTAACTGACATGAAAACCCAAGTCAGCACACAGGCGAACAACGAGCGACTATCCTCACTGGTTGAAGAAATTCAACATTCCGGTATGCCAATCTTTTCCAAACGGAGTCTCAAGCTAAAGAAGGACAGACATTGACCCACCGCTGAGAGCTGACAAAGGAAAGGGTCGTGCAGTAGAGTCGCCGCTAATCGAGCCCAACGATGGGGTCTTCAGCGACGATGACGATAACTCAGTGCTGTTCAATGAAACCCTTGCACCATATTTGGAGGACGACACCATGCCCCAGGCATCCTTACTCGAAATAGGTATTGACTTCTCTAGTTAATTCCCTGCCGTTTTCAAACGCACCACATAGACCAAACACAGGCAATGCCATCGGAGGACACCAGCGCCCACTTCATTGACATCTCTTCCGACGATGAGGACGTCATGCCCATTGTTCCTGCCTTGTCCTCGAAAAGTAAGCCCAAGGACGGTGCACCGGCTGCGAAAAGCATTCCCCAATCTGTAAACAGTGAGGTCATCTTTTTGAAGACGTTTTGTCCCATTAAAGAAAAACAGTTGCCTCGTCTTCAAAAAACCGGTCTTTTGTTCCGAAACCTAAAAGCATTTCAGCCAACGCACAGGGTGAGAACATTTTCTTGAAGGAACTTTACTCTTACTAAAGAAAAGCACCGAAGACGGAGTCAAGCGAAATTGGGAGGAAGCTTTTGGAGCGTCAACTGAGAAGGCTAGAAAATGTTCACCCAATCTTCCTCGAGGGGGATACAAAGAGCTCGACGTCTTCTTAGACTTGTTCAAACAAGTCGGCAACGCTTGCGGGTACTGCGTAGCACTTGGTACACCTAACCCTGGAGCGCATTCACCTTTCGACTGCCCAGCAATGAGCCCCGAACAACGTCAGGACTTTTCTGGCACATTCAGGAGGATGTCATATCCCGACGATGTAAAGGGACCCTGCTACAAATGCCATATTGCGTCCTATGGGAACGATGCACTACACCGCCCATTCCGTGGGAAGAGACAGAATACATGCGACCACCCTAATCTGGTGGCGGGACTTGCATATGGAATCTGGTCCTTCAAAGCATTGCGGGACCGAGCGGAACAGTATTTCGCCGCCCTAACCCAGTGGAGCTCACTCCTAGGGTTCAAACGGTGGTTTCTAACCCAACATATGACACTTGAATGGAACTCAATGGCACTTCTCAAGTGGTACTCGGAGTATTTGATCGACAAGGAGTAGAATTAATTCCGTAGATTTCATTTATACCCTTTGACAATAATTTCATCCCACTTTATTCTTTCCGCCCTGGAACTTGCAGACCGTTGGGCTGATGTGCAAGAAACCACTGAGTCCCAGTTTCACAAATTGCGCCAATTTCCCGCCGATGTCCGCATATTTCCACATATTTCCGCGTATTTCCGCAAATTTCCACAGATCCTGTGTGCCTACAGATCATTGGACTGATGTGCAGGACACGACTGACTCCCAGTTTTACAAATTTCGCAAATTACCAGCATATTTCCGCATATTTCCGCCTATTTCCGGATGTTTCCTCATATTTCCGCAGATTTCCGGATATTTCCGCAGATTTCCGATTTCCCCAAGAGGTTTCCTTCAACAGGTGATGTAAGTTTGTGGGCCTGCAAAGCGGTAGCACAAAAAAAACGCGAAGCGAGGACTGTACAAAAAGAGGGAACCATATTATTGATCACCATTAAAATGAAATCGCACAACGATTGGGCGGTACGGGCAACTTTAGATTTTTTTAGTGACTGCTGCATGAAATGGCAGTAGTACCGACAGAATCCCAGAACACCTTCAAGAAATCATAGAGCCACAATGAAATCGTACAAGGCGAGTCATGTAATATATAAAGCAACTTGTAGTATGCCTAGAAACCAAACTGTTAGACGAACAGAAAAACAAAACCAGCACAAACCAGCAAGAAAGATAGAACACCGAAACAGTAGGACACCTAGAAACCAAACATTTAGACGATGAACAGAAAACCAAAACCGGATTTGAAGGTCCAATTTGGTTATTCCGCATTTTTCCGAAATTGTCCCCCCATATCCGGATCACCATGTTTGAAAGCAAAAAAAAACGAATCGCGGATGTTGGCGATGGCCTCACTGGGGCTCGAACCCAGGACTCCTCCCAAACTTCATAGAGGACGTCCACAAAGAGGAGGCGCTTTTACCAACTAAGCTATGAGGTCGTCCACCGTGAGTCCCAGTTTCATCGGATTCCCGCTCCTGAGCTACCCAACACCAAGTATGGGTAAGGTCAACTCAACTCCAAGTATTTTCCGCGAAGCGGGGTCATTCAACTCCAAGTATTTTCCGCGAAGCGGGGTAAGTCCAATTCAACTCCAAGTATTTTCCGCGAAGCGGGGTAAAGAGAATTCAATTCCAAGTATTTTCCGCGAAGCGGGGTAAGTCCAATTCAACTCCAAGTATTTTCCGCGAAGCGGGGTAAGGACAATTCAACTCCAAGTCTTTTCTGCAAAGCGGCGTAAAGACAATTCAATTCCAAGTATTTTCCGCGAAGCGGGGTCAGGCGCGAGCTGTTGGAATGAAAAACGCTAAAAAAGTACTAAGTCCCCATCAAAAACGGACTTGTAAAAAAGCAGCCCTTCCCGTATGTGCCGTACTCAAAAACGGTAAAAAAGTACTAAGTCAACGCGAAAATCGGACTTTGCAAAATTCGCTGTTCGTCCATGCTCAGTTTTGTGTAGGCTAAAAACCGATGCGAAAATCGGACAGATCAAGCACAAACCGACGGAATTTCATGCCTATACATTGAATGACGTTGATTGTCGTTCCGAAAGCAAAAAAAAACAACCTGATTGGATGTGGCAGATGACCTCACTGGGATTTGAACCCAGGACTCCTCCTGATATGCCTAAGAGAGCAATATGTTATTAGCAGGAGGCGTTTTACCAACTAAGCTATGAGGCCGTTCAGGACATCCCTACCCTGGTAGATCAGGTTATCAGCCAGATGTGACTTCGTGCTTTAAAGAAAAGAATGACGCTGATTGTCGTTTCTTAAAGAACGAATGACGTTGATTCAACCAAGAAACTGAGATTAAAGAAGCTCAACAACGTCAAATTTCATTTTGATCCAGGACTATATATTGATGCGCGCTAATCCTAATCTTCCTTTCCTTTCAAGCAAACTACCACCATGGCACCCTTGAAACCCCGCTTGAAAGCTCTTAGTGCGCCACCCGAACATGGGAGGCGCTTGGGAGCTGCGTCAACTGCTCAGCTTAAGTCTCGCCGACAAGCCAAAGTGGTTCGCTGGAAGGAGGATATATCGCCCAAGCGAGAGACCGTCATCGAGGACGTTGAAGACATTTCGTCGGATTCGGACGCCACCATGGCCGGCAGCGATCCCATCGAGTCGCTCGATTCAGACCGCTCCTTCACCACAATGTCGTCAGACATTTCGTCCGACTCGATTGTTGAAGAGCCGCCGAGGCAGCCCATGAGCGACATCATAGTGAGTTTCTTTTCCGAGAATACCTGTGCAACTCCCTCATCCACGACTAGGTAGGAATGCCTGTTCGGGGCGAAGATCCAGAATGGGACGCCTTCATAGAGGATGAAGATAGCGACACGGACGTGGAGGACGTGCTTGCGTCGTTGGACAGCAGCGATGTGGAGTCGTTCCACTCGGGGGACGCGTAAATTCCATTTATTGACGCCCATGCTGTGGAAAAATTGCCTCAATATGTTTATCCAGCACCTCGTTTAGTTGACCGATCATGTTAAAGAAGTCATGTAAAATTGCCGACGCTCATGTTAAAGAAGTCACGTAAAATTGCCGAGGCTCAATTTGGAGACGGCATTCTTTACGCCCATGCTATCTTAAAAATTGGGTCACTATGTTTAGTTGACCGATCATGTTAAAGAAGTCACGTCGACGCTCGCGAGTTTTCTCAGCGACGGCACTCTTAAAATTGTGTCCCTCGTTTAGTTGACCGAAAATGTTAAAGAAGTCACGTAAATTTGCGACGCGCTAAAGTCCGTTCTCTTGGCGACGGCATTCTTAACGCACATGCTGCCTTAAAATGGTTGTTCTATTTTTATCCTGGAACTTTTCCTCGACAAGTCATTTAATCGGTGGAGGCATTTAGCGAGGGAAGAACTTACGTATCCTGGAACTTTACCTGTAAAAGAAGTCGCGCAAACACCTCAACTAAAATCGCGGAAATCATGTTAAAGAAGTCACGTGATCGGTAGAGGCGGTTTCGTACCACGTATATAAGGAATAGTAGGCCCGCGTCGTTGAGGGTGTTTACATTTAACGCGTCTCCTCTAGCTACCCCCCATGCCGTCCAGAAATACGCCGTCGAGCCATGCTGCAGTCCGTAAGCCTACAGACGCTCAGGTAAGCTCAAAGTCTTGCTAGAGTTCTTAAGCGCTGATCTGTGGTCTGCCATTGACTCACGCAGCAGCCAAAAACCACAAAGGTATGCTCGACGTGTCCCCTGATTTCTTTAAAGCCGACCATTGCCTAGAAACATTCTCACCCCTCGTCGGTGTCAAAGACGCCTGCACACAACGAGGTACGTCAGCAGCGTTTAGGGACTTGTTTAAAGCTCACCAGCGCTCAGAAGGACGGCTCTCAACCGGTACGCCGTTTTCAACCTCCCCTGCTCATTCTGTCTCAAAAACAACCCAAGATGGCTGCGAATCGACCTGCTGCAAACAAGGTACGCTCGCGGTTTTTTTTTAGACCTTTCCCGCTTTTTCACGCCTCGTTCTAGGTGCCCAGTGTGAATCCACCCGATGCAACTCAGGTACGCCCACGGCTGCTGGCGGTTTCTTCAAAGCTGACCCATGCCCAAAAGAATACAGTTGAAGCTGTTCGTCATTTTGATTGTTCACTGAGGCTTTACGGCTCATTCTGTGTCAAAGCTGGCGCCAGATCTGATGACCACACCGATCCTGCACGCCGAGAATCTCGCGATCAACACCAGGCTCTGCCTCTTCATCTGTACCGTGTGCCAGTGCGCACTGACTGCGAAAACTGTTCATGCTCATCTCAGCAAAACACACAAGAGGACCCCGACGAGCACCGTGTCGCGAGAGATCCACTCCCACAACATTTTGCCGGAGTACCCCGAAAATCTATGGGACAAGACCCCTTGTCAACCCTTTGGTGGCCTCGCGATCACGAAAAAGCAATGCGGTTGTCCTCTCTGCCCGTTTGCTAGCAAGCGCAGAGGGGTGATGAAGCATATCAGGGACCAACACAAAGGGACAGACGCAAACCCTGATGAGGGTCTCTGCACCCAAGCGCTGCACCACACTTTCCCTCGTTGCGTTCGCGTGTTCGACCATCCTCCGGGTGGTGAGGGACCTCGGGAGGACGCCATTCTTGAAAAGATCACTGGATTCGACTCGGGCGCACATCAGCCAACCACGGGCATTCCAAACGCTCGGATGATCGCCCCGTGGCTGCTCCGGAACGGTTGGCACCGGGAGCTTGAACCGCACAAGGAGCACGTCGCGGAGCTACGCGAATTGGTGTCGATGCCAAAGGGTTCTGAATTTCCTTGGCTCCAAAAGCTCGTCCAAGCCTACTTCACCCAAGCAACGGAGCTCATGGACGCCACCGACACACTGGTGCTCCAGCGCCTGAATTCGAGCGACACGGACAAGCAGTGAGCGCCATCGTTTTCTTCTATTCTTTCCAAACTTGAACCTGCAGAGGTATCAACAACACCCCGCTCCACGAACACCAGCAGGAGACCACCCTCGGGCAATACATCCTTCCGCTCGTGCATCTCGTAGCTGCGCTGCTCCGCGTCACGCCGAATTACAAGTTCTCGAGCAGTCCTGCCGTCGACCAAGCGCTGGTCTTGTTGAAGGCCCAGCGCACCGAGGACAGTTTGCACCGCTTGTTCTGTGCGCTTTGGCAAGCTGAATGGGTTCGCTCCAAGACGAAGCTGTGGCCCGACCCAACCATGTCGTTCCTCTGTTTCTTTCAACTGAAGCAGGACGGGGGATTCAAAGGGCCAAAGGAGACCACGCGTCCTATCGCACAGCTCTGTTGGGCCATTCGTCTGTCCGCTTTGACCCAAATCCATCATTGGGTCGACGCTGGAGTGTGTGCAACCCAGTGCGAAGCCATGGACCGCTTGGCTCGGTTTGTGAAGGACAAGGCGAACACGACGTTTGGGACGTTGATGACCTTGCAGCACTACGCTTCGGCTCTCGCCTACAAGTCTATGAGCGCGCCTCAGATTTGGTGGCTGGATTCGGAGCATTGGAGCAGCTTGAAATACTTGGGCGACACCGTTTCGATGTCCAATCTGCGGGAGATTGCGGGGGGATCGAGAAGGAGATGCTCGAGATATGGGAGAAGAGATCCTGCTGGGCACTGGGCTGTACGTCCAGTACGACGATCTGGCGGACGACCTGACCAACAAGACGACCGGATACTCGTTCCTGAGCGACGAGCGAATCCATTCGCTCAGCACAAGCACACGCTGGCGACACGGATCTTCCAGGATCCGGAGCTGCGGAAGAAATTCACGGTGCAAATCCCCGGTGTCAAAGGAGACCAGCTTAACATGCGAGCCGTTAGGGAGTGGCTCATCGACCTGGCTGAATTCGAAGGGCTCTCGATAGCCGCAACGACGAGGAGGATGCGGCCCCACCCGAGCACAGAGCTCTCGGGATGCTCGCTTGCAACACCGAGCTGCGCTCGAGGAACCTGACCGGACTGGGAAAGCATGTCGCCACCATCCGTCAATACGACAAGACCGCAACAAGACCCAAAAGACCGCCTCATCCCCTCGGCATGGGCTCCTTTCTCGGGGACTTGACGGTGCAACTGCACACTTTTGCGCGACCACTCGCTCATATTTCGCGTCCGTCGTTTGGCCCGAGAACCCCGAAATCGCTGCGCAAGTACAACCACATGCTCTTCATGGACTTTGCAAGGAGTTCACCACGGCGAAGGTGGGAGAATTCATGGTCAAAACCTCTATCCATATCCTGCACTGGAAGATGACAGTCAGACCGTACCGCCATATCAACATCGCTTTCGTCGCAAGTGGTGCAAAGCGGCCACGACCTTCTCGAACCAGACGGTTCAGCATCGTCAACGCTTTGCAGGGCGGGCACACTTACGACACCGAAAACATGGGATATGGCTGTCCAAGGAGGACGTGCTGACGGGAATGCCAGAGGACGTCCTG